TACAGTTTCACACTAGAAGGATCAACTACTGACGGTGCAATGTAATATCTTCACTGCATCTGACTAAGACGGATAAGTCACATCTAACCTACCTTTATTGGGCTTACTTAAATCTGTTGTATCTCGCGGTTACTTCAGGTATTACCCAATACGCTGTTGTAGGGATCATAATCTCTGATGCCCTTGCTACCTTTTCAAGTGCAGTCTAGCACGGTGACATATCGAGGCGGTGAGGTACGGCATCTTCCTCTTCGTATTATTAATCGGCCGCGGTTCACACCACTATGTAAACTCCATGGTATTGCTCACCAGACTATGCTACCTACATTCTGCTCCTTGAAATTGATTTGTAAATTATATGAACTAGCTTGACCAGCTACCTAATGCTAACTAGCATGGCGCTTAGAGAGCTGGTGCGTCGCCGGTTAAAGGTTCAGTCCATTCATGAGCACATTGGCATTTGACGTGCGCGTAGAGTTTCCGGGCGATATTTGTTCTTAATATGGATCAATAGGTTGGCTAATTATTCATTATGTTTCCAGTTCGCTGGGTACGTGTGCATCAAAAGGTTACTAGCGCTTGACCGCTTACAGTACGCATAAAGTGGAACGTTTGATATCTGGAGCAAAATGCTCAACGATTGTCCGTCGTGTGACCACGTTGGACTATGCATCCGAAGAGAAATTACCCTGGAAATTCCGTGGCAAGTGAACAATCCCAACAATTAACCGACTAGCGATCATCATGATGTCGACAGTTCACGTTCCGCTCCACAGGTTAGTAATGAGAGGGAGCATAGATATATTTTCCGTTGTCCAGCAGTCATACTGAATTTACCAGGGCTTATGAAAACCCAACTACCAGACGGATTGAAGGCGGAAGCGCACAGACACTTACCAGAAGTTTAATTGGACATGGCCAATCTTCTGGATAGACTAAGGAAAAGGTACTGTCAACAGTAATGGTAGGTCAGTGTCTTAGTATATTACATCGGAAATGAATCGGCGCATAGGGACCTTCGTTTTAGGAGCACTGAATAGCTACACACGAGAAGTACTATGCAGATCGTTACCAAATAGCTTATGGCCACAGCAGAGTAAACGTCGGCATGTACAAACAGTTAACCACTTGGATGACAGCTATGCTACGACTTGAACATTTGCAAAATAACAGTGCAAACACTGTTTGGAAAGCCGCATGTTTGATAATGAGCAGCAGGCCTTAGTTGATGTAGTATTGTGGTAATTGTAGCGCCAACAAGGCAGTAAGCGGCGAAATCTGGTATTACCAACTGTCAATGCTTAAGGCTGTGCAAAAATCGTATCTCTGGCAGTAGGTGCTCGGATCGGTCGGCGACACGGAGAGACTGAAGTGAAAACACTCCGTCTCATTCGCACGCTGTGCGATCTCCTCCATCAGCTACGCAAACCAGACTGCATAGAGGAGGCCATACCAAAATGCACACCATTTTACTGTATCAATTGTTTATTTATCATTCTACCTCGTAACCGTACTGATGGCAGCTGCGTCACCATTACTATGTCGGTTTCGTTCAAATATTGATGTCCAAGGTTTAAGACTGTTACTTATGCTCATGTCTAAATGTTAAGAAAACTCCAAGTTCGTGTTAGGTACTTATTCTCAAGCGTGCAAAAATAGCTGTTAGCCTGACCTCCAGAAGTAACCCATGCAGTTCATAGTACTAATGTTCATGAGGTTTAATACCTCTCTATCCAGTTTGTGGCAGTTCATACTTAAGTTTAGACAAACGCATGTGCATGTGAACAATGAACAATGATTGAACAATGGTTTCTAACGGGTAAAAAAACAGGCGCTTGACATGTCCCGTAGGGTGTTTAGATTGAGAAAAGATAGATCAAAGGAGAATGGAGTCGTCAGTTCGGACGGTTACAGATTTAATTGCACTGCCGTATAAAGGGAGTTTGAAATGAGAATGTACGCACACAAAGCAATGAGGAGAGTGGTTATTGATCACATAATAGGCGAAAAAAATAAAAAGGCAACAAGGACAACGCTTACTCGTGTGCAACTATCTTGGGTCGAGAGGATACAGAAATCCAGTTTCTATAGTAGTAGCGTTTATCAAATTTCGTGCAAGGGGTTTGGAGTGATTCATTCTCAAGTAGGGTTATGGCACTATCCACTGTCTTTTGTGCATTAGTGCCAGCATCCGGTGGTCATGGGCTATAGAACGTAGTGTAAATGTGACAGAGTATCATCAAGGCGTTTTTGAAAAGGGATAGTGTGGGTACATTAATTACATGTTCCGGGAGGGCGTTCCAAGGCTGTGCCACTCGAAGGGAGAAATAGTTTCGCCGACATTCCAGGCGGCTGTACTGCGTGACCAACTTAAACTGGTGACCTCTTAGCGGGATGTTTTGATTGAGTTGTATTCGAATTGCCAGTGCACACGGATGACACCAAACTATGTATATATGTATACCGGATGCATTCGACGAGGACACTCATACCGCTTTTGTACGACCAATTTAATGCAGAGAAACGGTACTCGGACAAACCGAAAACAGCATTACCAGAACATGAAGAACTTGAGTTTATGACAAACTCATGTTGATTTCAGCTATTGCGAATCATTGGCAAAGTTGATGGGGGCGAATTCCAACTCCTGCTCTAAAGGGCGGTTGCCTAGGTGCAGCATATATATATATATATATATATACATATATATATATATACAGATAGATGACTTTGCTACAAGTGCTTCTTATACCTTGGCCCCAATCAGCTTGCCAACTTCTACCCTTTCGTGCATTGACAGCGATCGGATGATGCGCTAGGCATTCTACCGATCAACCCACACGTGCTCTATCACCTGTGTAGGTAGCCGACTTTTCGATAAAATCTTTTGAGTTGCTGGCTGTCATTATTCCGTTATTCCCCCCTCTTTGCCTTCCCCAGCTCTTTGTGCTCTGACATTCTCTTTCATAATTTTAAATGCCTGAAGAGATTTTTCAAAAGTGTACTCTTCGCAAGCTTGTTTTTGCATTTCCATGGGTATGTTACGAGTTATACGTAATTTTAGTTTCGTTTTCTGTCTCATTTGGACTAACACGGGCTGAATTTTGGGTGCTAATCTCTTATGCCTCGGCAGTTTCATAGCTTGTGAGTCGCATTTCACCGTCAGAATACAGTCGACGACACTTGTTTTATTACCATTACTTCACTTCTGCTCTTATTCTAATGCCACACATTTTCCTAGTTTTGGATTAACTCCTGACACCGAATTGTTCGAGCCTCACGAGTCAGTGAAATATGCACACTGGATGTGTTGCAGCGGAAGCGACAAGCAGCTTGCAACGGTTGATCGGCTTTTTTTCGCTTCACTACGGACTACTCGGCCTTAATGTACCGACTTTATGGCATCACACAGACTGCTAATCGTTCTTATCAGCATTATTCCAGGCAGTCTATCAGTAATTCGAACTGGGCGCTTTCCTGTCCTGCAATCACCATGAAATAGGAAATTAGAATTATTAGGTAAATAGGTCGAGTTTCCTCACCAGTAGAAAACATGTTTTCACTATCAATACTGCGTGAAAGCTGTGCCTAATTATTGGACACCGCTGGCAATCTGACCAGTAAATGTGGTTTCGAGCTAGGTGCTGTGAATTCTCAGGCTATTCATGAGGCGGACCGTGTGAACCGTGTGTGATGGGCGAACCGGGCGACTCTTTTAGTGCTCTTAGTCTACGTGCGACTGGGGTATTTGCGCAGCAGTGAAGCGTCCGTACTGTGTACCGGCGTATTTCTGATGCCTTCTTCTTGCCGGCCAGTAGCCTTAAGGATCACAAGCCTGCCTTATAATCCTAAGACGAGGGTCTCAGTCCTCGTAGGACCTGGACGACCCACAGTATCCTTAGCTCATGTGTGACTGGTAGTGGTTGCAAAGCAACGAGGTGTCAGTACTGCGTATCGGCGTACTGCTGACGCCTTCTTCTTCGGACACGGGCCTAGGTGAACAAGAAACAGCCACTTTAGTCGTTTGCGACTTCATTTCCTGTTGTTAACTTGACCTCCACTCACCTCAGTACTTAATGCCACCTACATTTAGAGAGGAAAAAAGCGCTTGAGCAACGTACTTCAGTGAACCGTTATTTGTTGATCCGGAGCATTGCTGGATGTTTGGATCACATTCCATTTAAATCAGCGCTTCGTTACCTGACCACACTGATATGGAATATCACAAGTACATCACTAACTGCTCAGTTCCCCATTGCATTGAATGTCTGGCTGCTCACCAATTCTTTAGTGCCGTACCTGGTTATCCACCTCATATGTTGCTATCATCACTTCGCAACTTTTCAGATAATATACTCTGAAATTTATAGGTTGTTTATACACTTCTGTCGACGCATCATTTCAGTGCATTCAGCTTCTGACCTCGTTATATTGTCTTTTAATATGTCAGCGAATATCCGAATGTCTCATTGATTTGCAATTCACCCTTATCCCGCACCAAAATTGTAAGACATTGGAAATTGCATTAGTCATCTACTGTCACAATATTTTACAATGCCAACGCCTCTGGAGAGGTTTGTGACATCAGTGTTACTATGAACACGCTTGTGTTCCTTTTATAGGAAACATCAGCAATTTTTCACACTGCTGCGTAATATGGCTGTTAATCACTGGGCGGTCTTCGTAGCCACTCGGTGTAGGTGCTATACAAACTTCAGTTTAGTGTTGTTGGCAAACTCGTACTCATATGGATTACTGCTTTATCCGCATATCAAGTTTCGTTACGGAAGTATAACTAGATGTTTGAGGTTTGACGTTCTTCAATTTTTCATACTTCTACGGGCCTCCGAAATATTGTCGCACAAACGTTGAGACTTGGATCCATTTGCGATGACCTGGTTATTGGTCTGGGCTCCACAACACTGGGTCTTTCTCGATCAACTATGAGAAGTTTGTTCCAATGATTTGGTAAGCTTGTAAAACACCGTATAATATGTTTCCTACTCGGTCCATCGATGACCACTGCTCGTACAATCTTTCCTCTGTGAATAAATAATCGTTTACTGACTCGCAATTCACAGCCAGTTTTCGCTTCTAGGCTGAGAAACACGTGCTTCGCGTTCCTAAATTTATTGTAGAATTCGTTAATATCCGCTTTATCTTGGTGAATGAACATAGTGTATCGTAGCCAACCTTCCTTGTGAGTGTTCTCTCCCTTGTGCTCTGGCAGCGCTGTGGCGGTGCACTCTTCATCTACATTGTTTCCGTTAATTTCATCTTGTTTGGAGTGCTTTTGTTTTCCTTTTATAAGAAAGTTTTGTTCCTCCGGTTGTGGACTTTCCGCCTCACCATTTCGATACCACTCCAGACCATCTGGTACATTTTGTCGGAGTTGCGAGAAACCAAGGATAGATGAGCTTATGCGGGGAATTTTGCTTCGTTTAACCGTTGGTCGGCCGTTCATACTCTCATCAGATTGCCAGTTGTTCCAACTGAACTTGTTTCCCTTTGCTGCGGCAAACATCTTCGTCGTTGTGCTAACACTATGTATAGATTCCCCATCTTGATGTCTGAAAAACGAATGAGAAGAGCATCTTTGATCGAACAGCTGCGGTTCCCAGTTTTCACCAAATTGCAATGAAGTTTCGCCAGTTGAGTCAACATTTTCCCTCGAATGTGCTAACAAACGGGCCCAATTGGGGTCTCGAGAACTCTCGATAATTCCGACATTTCGATGGTACTGGGATGGTTTGGTTCCTTGTAATTCATCGGACGGGGACAACCTTCCATCACCTGCTGGTATTGTCTCCGTTCTCTCTGAACTGTTTAGATTATCACCTTTATACGTCTGCTGCACACAACGCGTGGCGTTTTTATCCGCTTTTACATTATTATTGGTAACACTTTTCAGCTCATTATCTTTTCGTCGCCTTTCCTCTGTATTTTCTTTCACAGACTGTAGACAGTTGCCCATGACATACGTACAATCCTCCCACGTTTCCTCACACAGATCTTGCCTCAACCTGCCTTCACTTCATGTACATTCGCTTTCTACCATTTGGCTCTTGGTGTCCGTGATAAGTGCTTGGTTCAAACAATAGGTATCGATTTTCTCTACTACTTCGGTCACCTGTCCGGATCACAAATCTGCATTCGTCCCTGATTGCTGTATGGTGGTCATTTTGTTTAGTTCCTTAAGATGTTGCTCTTCTAACTACGTGAGCAGAGCTGGAGCAATTCTTTTAGTAGATCTCAAGATGGAAATGGATTCGGTACGTTACCATAAAATTCAATTGAAAACAGTTCACGTTTCTGGATGTTTTTCATAATATTATATGTAAGTGTCCGACATAGTAGAATATACAACGTTACGTTTACGAAAAGAATTGAATCAGAAGTATTCAGTGGACTAACGAGAGGTCGAATAGGGACAAACGAGCGTATTTAGAGGAATCACTTATTCATTCATTATACACGTCAGCTTGACGTAGGCACATTTCAGCCATTATATAGCAAAATAGAGGAACGCTGGCTTACAAAACAACCTTCTTATGGTGCCTGCTGGGTGTCTCGCGTATTTCGTGTTCCCGCGAATGTTTCGGAGGCAGTGGTGTTCCAGCACGTGGTGAGTTAACGCTTAGAAAACGTTCAGCTTATAAAAACCACAGGTCTCTGCTTAAAAACCGAGACGTCGTGGATGGGACTCGCCACTAAATAAATTCACTGTCCCTTATCCTCCTCTTAAACCTTATACATTGAAAAGCAATCCAACCTTTGGATTCTGCTTTTGACTTTGGGAGTGCTGGGCTCCTGGTATGGTCTTTCGCCACCCCAAAGACATGTGGACTGAGTGTTCAGTCACCGGCAACCAACGGGTGCGAAATCCTTATATCGCCCTGCTGCCTTTAGGTTAGGCCTTTTGGCCAAGAGCTCAGGTCATTGGCCCCGTAAGACAACCCACCTAATTCGGTCTGAGCGACCAGGTAGTATCTCGCCTACTGATGATTAATATTCACCCTTCATGGGTGAATGCAGCAAATACTTGACTTGAACCATGGAAACATACTAGTACTAAAACCCCACCCCCGTTGCCACTAAGACGTAGTATCCCTAAGCATGTAACGCACGGTTCTGAGACACGTAATCCCAGCAAGCAGAAGACGTCTAAACAGCAAAAGGTTTATCAATCAATTGAGAAGGTACAAGGGTCACGGAAACGCTCAGCGAGACCGAGGGTGTGTGTCAGATGATTGGCTAGCTGGTGTGAGTGGTAACTAATCCGCGCACGGCTGAAGCAAACGGATCGAAGTCATTCGCGTACGTGACAAGTACCTTCATTCTCGCTCTCAAGCTGATCCACTGTCGTGTCGTACACCAACTTTACATACAGACGCCACCCTTCCTTTGTATCATTTACCCCTGTTGCTACTTGATTCTTTAATGATGAACAATCCCACCACCGCCGAGGAAGTGGTTCTCTTAACATCTATCAATTCAACCACATAGTTCTCGACAGGTTGCTGCCAGCCCCGACGTTTGCCATCTTCGCTACTGCAACCTGGAATGCAGTTCAAACTAGCAATGTTTAACATGCCCGCATTAATGCAGATTGGACAGCAAGCGGTAGACTCTTGGAGTTGATGTCTGCTGCCTGAGTGAAACAACACACTAACACATTACCAGCTGTCGTCACTAGTCCAACCACACACCCGCTTCTATCTTCGCCATTCTGACGACGCTGAGTCTGCCGATCCTGGGAAAGCTGGTATTGAGATCACCATCAGCGCTAGTACCGAGACCTACTACCTTGATTGAATTCAAACCACCAGTCGCCTTTGCGCTATGAGGCTCCGTGGCTCTTGCATGGTTAGCAGATGTCAAACGGACAAGCGTGCTCCTTTTGTGGCCTCCACCTACGCGTTCACTGATGACAGCTCGGATATAGTCAAGGACCAATTTTATCAACACCTGCATGAGCTGCTTCTAAAGGCGCCTAAAACAGACATCACCATTTCGACAGGGGAAGCCAACTAACGTATCTATCAGCTGCTGCCTTGTGAACGCCACCTCGAAGGACCGATGGTATTCGCTCTGAGAGCGGAGCGAGGCTGCTTAGTCTATGTGCTGACAACCAACTGTTTATCTCCAGTTTTCGTCACCCTGGACACCACTATGCCACCTAGCGTCCTCCATTGTCTACACAGGATGCTCACAAATTGATCACAGCCTTAAGACGCAGGTGACATGGTATCTTATGCGAGTGCAGATAATATTGGTTAAATTGTGTTTAAACTGATCATGCATTGGTGTGGGCGACAGTTTGCATACTTTCGGTGGCTTATCTAGGGCCAAACAAATCCGACTGAATACGCCACCTGTGGCGCAGACGCGACATTACTCTCGCCCTCAAGGGCAGAGTTTACAACGCAGCCGTCCGTTCAACTCTCCTATATGGCTGTGAAACCTGGCCCATCAGGTCGACAGACATGAAGAGACTCGTCACGTTCGATCATCGCTGCCTTCGCAGCTTAGCTCATGTCTGGTGGGAACACCGCGTGAGCAATGAGCGTGTTCGACGTCGCGTATTTGGTGCAGGAAGAGCGAGTGAACCGCTCAGCACGATTATATCACGCACCAGGCTCCGATGGCTGGGCCACGTCTTGCGCATGCCAGCACACCGACTCCCACGACGTGCATTGTTTGCGCGTTGTGGGTGCGGTTGGAAGAGGAGGAGGGGAGGCCAAGTGATGACTTGGTCGAGAGAAATGAAAACCCTCACTTCGAAGTTGGCGTCGGTTGGTGCATCCCGACTGCCTGGCTGGGGTCCTAAGGACGGTGAACACGTTTGGCTGGACACACTTGCTGATATGGCTAGGAGCCGGCCCCAATGGCGTTTGTGTTGTGAGTTCCTTTGTCCATCCCCCTCCTGTTTAGCATCCTCCTCCAATCACGATCTCAATCGTTAGGCATAATATGACTTTCTTTTACGGCAGCCAGCTGTTAGCTCTCCGGAACGATGTCCATCCGTTACTGGGGACTCAGCGGGCGTGCCACTGTTTGTTTGTTTTTTCTTTTCTTGCCTTTTGTATTGCGGCACAATAGCTGAGGTGTTTTCCACCTCCAGCTAACGTGTAATGATGATGATGTAATGACTGAATACGTACAAGCGGGCGGACCCAGCGGTAAAAAGGCAGTATCAACAGAGGCTTCGTGAAATTCCCACTCACCTTCTTAGATGTGGATCAATACTAGTCCATTGCGACGAGACTGGATCTTCAAGTGGTGCGATAGTTTGTGTGCCTTAGTGTTCCATTGAGCTATGTTGGGTGGTGAATTTTGCACCTTCAGAGCCACTCATACCGGATTGGTCAATGGTTAGAAGCCAGACAAACTCAGTCTATTGGCCATCTAGTTGCGGGTTGGAGTGTGGGTGGCTCCTTACTCCATAGAAAGGGCTCTCTGTAATCCAGTGCCTAAAACCCGCCGCCTTGCGGTCAGGTTTTTGAAGCAAAGGCTTTGGTTGAGGACCCTAATCGTTCTCCTGTCTACGCCTGGACAACGTGACAGTACCGTGCACACGAAATTCAAACCAATGACTTGCTTTTTAAACAATCCCTTTATGCTCTGGCCTTCGCAGAGGATAATAAGCGGCGTCCTATCCGCTGCATAAGGCAGGGTGGGTAGTGGTTTGGATGTTACTGTTCAAGTCTTACCGTCTTCTTATTCCCCTTCTCGCACTTTTTCATCCTTATCGTCCCACTCCAACTTTGCTTTTATCCCCCTGTTTTAAGTCCCTCAATGCTTGACGCTTCCCCGACTTGCTTCAATAGTCACTTGTCTGCTTCTTTCAACTCACGCGCAATCGCAGAGCGTCAATCCAATCCAGTCGACAAATCCATGTTCATCCAAACGGAAAACAGTTCATCCGTTTCTTTTTGGTGTCCTCGATCCTCGCTAAGACTGGCATGCTTCAGCGTGCGCACTTTGTTACAGATTGGCCAACCGGCTGCAATTGCTCTTACACTAGAGACCTTATGAAATGAAATCTGCTGCTTATCGGAAACCTGCCTGCAATATTCCAGCTCCGTGTTCCCCCTGCGACCCCTCACATGCGACACTGGCGGCACATTCTCATTGCGCCTGTCTGCAGATGACGCAGCTTCAAATGCCGGTCAAGCCGCCGTGGGCTTTGTTTTGAGTCACCGGGCTGAAGCTGCTCTGATCGACTGGATTCTAGTCAATGGCCGAATGTGCGCTGTTAGATTGGCTGGCTTGTCACAGACTTCGAAAGTGCTCGGAGACAAATGGTGCCTGTTTATCATTGCGGTATAGGCCCCTACAAACCTTAGCACAGATTCTGTAAAAGATGAATTTTATCACCAACTGTACGCGCTCTTCCGTTACATAAAAGTACGGATACCGTGGTGCTTGCTGGTGATCTGAACTCTCAAGTCGGAAAAGTGTCCTCTGATGAGCTTTGTCTGGGCGGTCAACATGGTGTAGGCTGTCGTAATGATAACATTGTACGGTTGCTGCACCTGTGTGAAGATGCTCGTCTCTTGCTCGCGAGCACTAACTTTTGACACGTTGCTCGCAGAAGATTGCCTTGGAGTCCATGAGCCTCGGACCAGTCATGGACGCAACTCGATCACATCGCGATCAGTTACCACTGGAGAAAGTGCTTCTAAAACTCGCCCGATTTGGAGCACGATCGTAGACTGCCATCATGCTCTTGGGTGTACTGACCTTCGGTTGCGTTTCGGCGGATGACCGCAACTTAGTTGCACTTGCATAAGCATCCGGAAACTGGTGAAGCCAGGTGTTCTGAATGCGTACCCAAGTACGCTGGCATCCAGGCTGGGCAATCACCCACTGCACATTGTTGACGATCACTTGTCGTATATTCGCCAGACGTTACTAACAGCAGGCATTTCTTCACGTAGCAAATCAAATTGCCAACCTGGACATTGGGTCCCTACACAGTCTCTGGAACTTTTGGGTGCTCGCCGGCGGATTCCGGTTGGAAGCGAACATAATGAGACACGCAGAATTCTCAGGACAAAAGTGTTTGCTAGCCTGAAGAGTGGCCACGACATCTGGTACTCTCATCGTGCATCGTCAAGTTTTCACGTTTACGTTAAGCACACTAGCAACCTACTCCCAATCCGCTCCCTCTTCATAAGTTTTCGTTATTCTGCGCTTCACTTCCATGGAATGGTGAGCATACAGTCCTCTTCGTGCTATCGCTTTTCGGTAAACTGCACGTTCACGG